CATTTTCAAAATTTTTATGCCTTACTATACTATGTCGTTTTTTTTCACTTTTTAAGCCTTATTATACCATGTTGTTTTTTTCAATTTTTATGCCTTAATATACTGTCGTTTTTATGACTTTTCATTTCTTACTCTAGAGTTTCATTTTTTTTTTCATTTTTTATGCCTTACTAAAGCGTTTCATTTGTTTTTCATTTTTTATGCCTTACTATATACTATGTCGATTTTTCACCTTTTAATTCCTTACTATACTATGTCGTTTTTTTTATTTTCATGCCTTGCTGTACTATATCGTTTTTTTTTTATTTTTATGCCTTAATATACTATGTAGTTTTTTCATTTTTTATGCCTTAGTATACTATGTCGTTTTTTTCTTTTTTTAGCAAGAAAGGGGAAACAACACGAGTTTACAGGTAACTTTCAAATAATTTATTTACAACAAGGAAAATGAGATATACGTCGACAAATAACTGGAAAACAATAAACAAAAGAAAGACCACAGCTGCCGTCAGGTCTGCCAGGAGCATGGGAGCGAACACAAAGACAGCCAGAGAGAAAGCTAGAGACGTCAGAGAGCCAGGACTGAAAGAAAGAAGACTTAATGTAGCACACCAGGGTCATGTGTAGCATATCACGCTGATTCGTACATCCAGCACCTGAAAGGAAAGCAGAAAAAACATATAGGGATATTGAGTGCCCTAGTAGAGGGGTCTTCAAATGTCATTTTTATTCCTTTGCATAGTATGACGATTTTCTGATTTTTTTAATGCCTTACTATACTATGTCATTTTTTTCACTTTTTATGCTTTACTATACTATGTCGTTTTTTTCACTTTTGAGGCCTTGCTATACTGTCATTTTTTTTCAGTTTTTATAACTCACTATACTATGATGTTTTCATGACTTTTCATGCCTTACTATAGCGTGTCATTTTTTACACTTTTTATGCCTTATTATATTATGTTGTTTTATCACTTTTCATTCCTTACTATAGCGTATCATTTTTTTCATTTTTTATGCCTTACTGTACTATGTCAATTTTTCACTTTTTAGGCTTTACTATACTGTTGTTTTTTCACCTTTTATGTCTTACTATACTATGTCATTTCTTTCAGGTTTTGTGCCTTACTATACTATGTAGTTTTTTTGATTTTTATGCCTTAGTATACTATGTCGTTTTTTTCACTTTTAATTCCTTACTACACTATGTCGTTTTTATGACTTTTCATGCCTTACTATGTCATTTTTTTAATTTTTATGCCTTAGTATACTATGTTGTTTTTTTTCACTTTTTATGCCTTACTATACTATGTCGTTTTTATGACTTTTCATGCCTTACTATACTATGTCATTTTTTTTCATTTTTTATGCCTTACTATACTATGTTGTTTTTTTTACTTTTGAGGCCTTACTATACTATGTTGTTTTTTTCACTTTTGAGGCCTACTATACTATGTCGTTTTTTTCACTTTTAATTCCTTACTATACTATGTCGTTTCCTTGATTTTTATGCCTTAGTATACTATGTCGTTTTTTTTCATTTTTTATACCTTACTATACTATGTCGTTTTTTCACTTCTTATGTCTCACTATACGTCTTTATTTTCACTTTGGGGCCTTACTATCCTATGATGTTTGTTCTTTTCAGTTTTTATAACTTCATATACTCTGACGTTTTTATGACTTTTCATGCCTTACTGTAGCGTATCATTTTTTTCATTTTTTATACCTTACTATACTATGTCGATTTCTCTCTTTATAGGCCTAACTATACTATGTTGTTGTTGTTTTTTTCACTTTTGAGGCCTTACAATACCATGTAGTTTTTTTCAATTTTCATGCCTTACTGTACTATGTCGATTCTTCACTTTTTAGGCCATACTATACTATGTAGATTTTTCACTTTTTATGCCTTATTATACTATGGTGATTATTATGACTTTTTATGCCTTGTTATACTATGACATTTTTTTCACTTTTTAAGCCTTACTATACTTTGTGTTTTTTTTTACTTTTTATGCCTTACAATACTATGTCATTTTTTTTTTACTTTTGAGGCCTTACTATACTATGTCGTTTTTTTCACTTTTGAGGCCTTACTGTACTATGTCGTTTCTTTTATTTTTATGCCTTAGTATACTATGTCGTTTTTTTTATTTTTATGCCTTAGTATACTATGTCGTTTTTTTGATTTTTATGCCTTAGTATACTATGTCGGTTTTTTTTTAATTTTTTATGCCTTACTATACTATGTCGTTTTTTTCACTTTTAATTCCTTACTATACTATGTCGTTTTTTTTATTTTTATGCCTTAGTATACTATGTCGTTTTTTAAACTTTTTATGCCTTACTATACTATGTCGTTTTTTTGATTTTTATGCCTTAGTATACTATGTCGTTTTTTTCACTTTTAATTCCTTACTATACTATGTTGTTTTTTTTATTTTTTTGACTTAGTATACTATGTCATGTTTTTTCCTTTTTATGCCTTAATATAATATGTTGTCTTTATGACTTTTCATGCCTTACTATACTATGTCGTTTTTTTGATTTTTATGCCTTAGTATACTATGTCGTTTTTTTTCATTTTTTATATCTTACTATACTATGTCGTTTTTTTTCATTTTTTCTGCCTTACTATACTATGATGTTTGTTCTTTTCAGTTTTTATAACTTAATATACTCTGACGTTTTTATGACTTTTCATGCCTTACTATAGCGTATAATCTTTTTCATTTTTTATGCCTTACTATACTATGTCGATTTTTCTCTTTTTAGGCCTAACTATACTATGTTGTTTTTTTTTTTTCACTTTTGAGGCCTTACTATACTATGACGTTTTTTTCATTTTTTTATGCCTTACTATACTATGTAATTTTTTCACTTTTTATGCCTTACTATACTATGTGGTTATTTTTACTTTTTATGTCTTACAATACTATGTCGTTTTTTTTTACTTTTGAGGCCTTACTATACTATGTCGTTTTTTTCACTTTTGAGGCCTTACTATACTATGTCGTTTCTTTTATTTTTATTCCTTAGTATACTATGTCGTTTTTTTTCACTTTTTAGGCCTTACTATACTATGTGGTTATTTTTACTATTTATGCCTTACAATACTATGTCGTTTTTTTCACTTTTGAGGCCTTACTATACTATGTCGTTTCTTTTATTTTTATGCCTTACTATACTATGTCATTTTTTTCACTTTTGATGCCTTACTATACTATGATGTTTTTTTTCATTTTTTATGCCCTACTATACTATGTAATTTTTTCACTTTTTACATCTTGCTATCCTATGTCGTTTTTTTTTTTACGCCTTACTATACTATGTCGTTTTTTTCTCTTCTTAGGTCTTACTAAGCTATTTCATTTATTTGACTTTTTATGCCGCACTATATTATTTTGTTTTTTCACTTTTCATGCCTTACTATTCTATGTCGTTTTCTTCTCTTTTAATTCCTTACTATACTATCACATTTCTATACTTTACTTTCCTACAGTATGATGTGGTTTGACTTTTTTATATCCTTACTTTTTGTTCTTTCTTGTATGTGACACAATATAGTAAGGAATAAAAAAACGACATAGTATAGTAATGGCATGAAAAATTCATTTTTTAATGAATTTTTTCAGTTTTTAAATGAAGACTTTTTATTCCTAACAATACTATGACTTTTTCATGCCATTACTATACTATGTCGTTTTTTTATTCCTTACTATATTGTGTCACATACAAGAGGATATATTATTACTGCATATATACATGCTCTGGATAAATTAAGATATGAGTTTGTAACACATATGAAATACTCATAGTAAAATGCAACATTATTAAAACAACATGCTCATTAAAATTCCATGTTATTACACAATTTTCAGTTGGGAACAAAAGATGAACAATAAGTTTTCTGAACTTCTCAATCTTTATTCTCAAGCAGTTGTCGAATGGATGGAATGCTTCTTGCTGAAATGCACCTAGGGAGTGATAGTTAACTTTTATCCCACAAATTTTTGTTTATGTACACAAGCTTGTGCCATTGATTTCTTATCAAAAAGAAAAGAAAAATCAGATATTTTCTAAAGCATTTGTTAATCTTTTGTACTGATAGTGTTTCACATTGATCCAAACCATAGAGGTGCTTCCAATTTGAATTGCAACATTTTTTGGAGGAAGAATGAATCAGACATTTTCTTCCGGAACCAGAGATACCCACGTTTTCATCACTGTGTCAAAAGATCTGTAGTGGAGCAGCAGACTCTTTCACCACTTCCTCAAAACGAGAAAGTGACAACTGAAGCACTATCACAAACTTGAAAAGATGGAAAATTGACTGTTTCATGAATTTTGTTGGCTTCCTCTCTGTTTGGCACAGCCCCAGCACAGCAGTCACTCTGCTAATATGAAGCTGGATATTATCAATCAATTAGAGTCAATAAACAGTTATGGTGGAATGCTGAGAGTTGGATACAATCCCATATCTTTTGACTCACCTCATTATCTATATCATTACTGTGCAACACACTTTCCTGTGTGTGAAGTGCTCTGAAAGTCCCTGGCAACCTAGAATTTACAAGCGTACTGTAACTGCTTGTGTGTGTTTGTACTGTATGTGTGTATGTCTAACTGTGTGTTGGAGACTGTGATACGAGTTTAGATGGGAGGATAATTTTCACTTGTTTGTCAAAATATTGTCACTTTTCTTGGAGAGCCAATTTTTGGGGTTGCGTGTAATCCCAGTGACGGCTCGTTTATTAGTGGCTGATGGCTTTTAACACGTGCTGCCAGGCAGACCGGCAGTGACAAAAAGCTGTTTATTTCCCTAGCCATTATGAAACCAAGCATTAGACGTCACATTTATGCACAGCACTGACAGTAGTGTTACTGGATAATAACCCTTCCTCTCTTGCTTTTTTGACTCACCATTAATGAAAACAGAATTATCACCCACTGAGTCACACACCATAAAGTGATTGACTTGTTTTCCAAGGCCTTTATTGAGTGCATTTTAGTACAATATTTCTCAGAAAGTTACAGCTTACAAACTCTTGACACATACTTGTCACAATTTACAAGTGGTAGCTATACAGAAACAAAAAAAAAGAAAAGAAAAAGGAACCATTCACGCTCTTAAACAATGTACCTGTGCACACATAAATGTCTGTACACAAATGTGCCTATGCACACACATGAAATCAGTCTCTCGCACACACAAATAAACAAACTATGACATGTGCACACAGATATTCAGCTTCACCATCCATTGTGTACCATAGAGGGAGGTCGTGACTGGTATCCTGGAAAGGTCCCATTTCACCTGGTCTTCCTCCTTTGCCGACAGCAAATACTTCTTGGTGTTCAGTGTGTGTGTGTGTGTGTGTGTGAACATGAAGTGCGATGTGTATACTGTTTTATGTGTGTGTAAATCTCTAAGTCTGGAGTCTGTAACAGAAGGAAAAAAAGAGAATGAAGTTTAATAAGTTTAGTTTTGCAGGGAAGTCATGTCAGGTCATTTTCAGGTGAACACGGCTGCCACTGTTCTGACCTATAAATGACAGGCATGAATTCAGCTGCTAAGAGGATCGTTGGTCACTCCTCAGACAGTTACAGCACCATGAAACATTTAACAAGCTCTGTTCTTGTGTTTTGTATCAGTGTGTGATGAATGGCCTCCATATGAAACAGCGTTCAGAGAGGTATGGTGAACCGCCTCTCCATTCATCACACTGGAGTGTCAGTACAATCAGATATTTAGAAAGACAAGCAGAGCAAATGGAAAAAGAAAGAATTACACTGTTGCATAATGAATACATTCTATCATCTCATTCACAGGCTCTTGGGTTGCAAAGCAAATACATAGCACTAAGCTGAATGGAGGACTAATGCATTCAAATTGAATAACTGGCTTCAGTGAAAGGGATTTATGCCAATCTAAAAGAGTATGTGATTATATTTAAGAATACTTAGTAAATCAATAACTGAGAATTAAAATGAAAAGGCAATTGATTTTGTCCATGAACCTATCCAGTTGCTTGATTTCAGTATTTTCCATTAACAAACTAAAGAAATTAACATTTCTATAATAAATGAGATGTTGCCATATGAACACACTGCAAGACGAAGGTGGCTGAGTCACTTCGATGAACTAACTTTCTGACTTTCATCTGACCATCTCTTCTATATGCCCTGCAACCCAACCCTCCTGTAAACTGACTCATCCCTGTCTCTTTATCACATAATATGCACACACTGTCAGTCTCAGCCCACTTTCTCTTCAGTAAGCATCAGGCTGGAAACCAGACACGAGAATAACATAATTAAGGGTTGCTCTGTGTGTGTGTGTGTGTGTGTATGTTTATTTTTTGATGGTCCCATCAGTCTCCCACCCTGTGGCTGATGCCTGTCAGATGGGGGTCCCAGCAGATGTTTGCACCCCTGCCTGGGCCCACTGGAGCATGAAGCCAACCATTTCTCAGACCGGCCATGGCCTGGCCCAGCCCAGCCCAGCCCAGCCCAGCCCAGCCCAACCCAGCCCTGCCCTGGCCCAGGACAGCTTGGTTACACCCAGGATAAATGAGCTGGAGATTTGCCAGCCAGCTGGTGTAGCCAGGAGAGAGGGCAGGACAGACAGAGTAGGAGGAGGATGACTTGAGGGTGGTGAGTATACTTAATAATCTGCTAATGGGCCTGCCATCAATTTCTAATTTTGGATGCAAGGTGGCTAGAACTGTCGTCACTCATCTCTCTCTTAAAATAGGGCCAAAAGATTTCAGCGGGGTCACAGCTACTGCAAAGAATTGATACTACAATAGCTCATGATAATTGTCTGTGAGCTAGGAGACTTCCTTTGACATACAGCCACGGCTGAAAATTGTCACAGCAGCATTCAGGTCAGTTTGCTCTCAATTTTAAAGGCAAGTGTGGCTAACATTTCATCAACACTTGATTTGACTTGATTTATATAATACAACAACTTTTTTGCTTTCCCAAAGCCTGAGACTAAAGCAAGTCACCAGCAAGAAGAAAAAAAAAAACACGTTGCACAGTCCAATTATGAAGCACAATGCCCAGATTAAAAAAAGACAAATCATCTTTGTGCACAATGCAGAAGTGAAATACTGCGGTGTACTTTCAGAGTCATTAATTCATTATTTCATTTCATAGTCATCCACGACGATTCTTTCAGGAATAATGTAGACATCTCTCAATCCAGCACAAGCAAGGGGGGAATTTCCTAACACCAATTTCTTCAGCTAATAATTATGGCGAGATTCATGTGTGAAAATCTCTGTGCCACCATGGCAGTTTGCGCTCAACCTGCCTACACATATGGCAGCTGCATATAGTGAGAGTGCATAGATTTACTCAGCAGTTTCGCTTCAGTAGTCGATGGGAGGCTGTACTACACTGTAAACAGTGTGCTCGTGTGGGCAGTTTAAGTCTGCATGTTCAACGGAATGGCATCAGGCGTCTGTTGGCAAACCTCAGCCCAGATGTTCATTTTCACTGTGTAGACAAGTGATGCTGATTCACTCCGATTTCCAGTGCCCTGATTAGCCGCTCTCCCATGCATCTCAAACTTGCAGCAAATCTTGCCTTGGCCAAGATATTTGCGGCACCGATGAGAAAGACTAACTGGATTTGCCTGAAATAAAATCCGCCAGATGTAGAGCAATTTGATGTTAAGTAGTGTTTTTACTGTGTGATCAGCAGCTACTTACCATGGATTTGGGCCGGCTGAGGCGTGGAGTTCCCTTCCCCTCTGGATGGCGCTGCGCACTCCCAACACAAACAACAACAACGGATCAAAAAGAAAATCTAACATAAATCAAATCTGTACAAGTAAGTGCTCACCAGCAAGAGACAGCATGTGTACACCCACATTTAACATGATCTCCAGTAAATGGATATTTTGTCAATTATTTTAACTCCTACAGCATTTTTTCATATAGATCTACAATACCAATTCTTTGCCCATGATTCCTTTTATATTTTCCTCAGGTTAAGATTCAGTCAGGATTGTCCTTGTGCCCCTGGAACAAGCCAGTGTCTGTTGTTCAGTCGTCCGAAGGGAACCAGGGCATCGTAGGAATCTAACACATTGCATGTGTCTATCACAATCTAGTCAACAAACATGTCTTTGCCAAAAATGCAAGCAGAGAGTTCTGTACATACATATTCATACATATCACCTTCAATATGAAGGTTTATTATGAAAGATATAATCATATTTAGCAAGAGATAAACATATTTATATTCTCTGAATCTGGGTGGGGCTGGCTAAGAAGTCCTTTGGCAAGGCCTTCCACCCAGGACTCCACAGGTAGTGTTAAAGTTAAAATACAAGTGGACGGCATCTTGCTATAGTGATAAAACAAACAAACAAACAAACAATCAAACAGATGGTAGAAGACAAAAATATAACTAAGCTCTGAATTTTCACCAGTTCATTTACGATACATTTTGTCAAATTCTTCAAACAAGCAAAAGATGATGTGAAAGTTGAAAATGGTGCTCCACTGTACATCCCTGTATTCTTCTTCCTCTAATTATTCCTACTGGTAATTGCTTTTTCTTCTGAGACTTATTTCTGGCCAGGTCAAGGCATCTTCATTGCACACATTGACGACAGTATGGATAAAATCACAGGTCACACGTTGTTTCTAAGTGTCTCACACTTCTGTTTACAATTTTCTAGTCCAGATAATATAGAAGTACAATATCACTCATTTTACCATACAGTCTGAACTTGTGCGAGATTCCCTGTGTCAACATCCGATTGTTATTTTGGTTCACAATGACATGAATGGCTGTTCATACCCACAGCAAAATGATGTCTGTCCTCTTTTTGTGGATCAGTAGAGAAACAGTATCAAGTCTGGACCCTGAACTCCTGGCGTGGATTGCATGAAGTGTGATAGCTATTAACCAAGTGGTAGTGTAGACCCTGGTCTCCTGTTGTCATGGTTTGTGGATTAGATTAAGACAATAGTCTCCACTCTGGCGCGTTCCGATGGATCGGGGGTCATTCGAGGGCTGCCATTGTTGTTGGTCCTGCGAATGCTGCCCGTTCCGTGGCACAGCGCCCCCTGTAGTCATGCCATAGTGATGGGTGACTGGCTCATCTGCACCCTCATGGACTGGATATTACTGAGGATCTTCTTCTGGTGGCCTGCCAGGGTCACTCCTATCCTCAGCAAGTCCCTAGAGAGAAAGAGGCCGGGTGAAAGGAAATTGAAAACCAAGAACATATTTTGAAGCAATAAATGGAAGGATTTCCATCACATTGAAGATGGAATAGATCATCTGAGTATGAAGCTATTATACTGTGAAAAAATGGCATTGTATTTCCTGGTGTATTTGCAATCCTAACATGGCTATATGAAAACAAGTTCAGGATGGAAAGCTAGAATGAATGTAAACACAAATTTACAAAATTAATTCTATCACTTGAGAGAAGATTTAGTAATCTATGTTGCTTTGCATTGCAAAGAGACTGCACCAAGCCCCAAGCATACATTTTTAATAAAAAATGTTAGAGAGATTTTATATTTTCGCATAAATTTGTAGACCGAGCGCCATTCTTAATTAAAATAAATGGAGTGCAATATTTATGTCTATTGATACTACATGTGCTATGAGAATTGCCATCATGACCCAACCTTTGAAAAACTCCACATAAACAGCAGTGAATAAATATGCCTCTTAAAATGTGTAGTTAAAGGATTTACATCCATATCCATATTTTGGAAAATTGTTCTCAGAAAATGCTTAATTATTATATCATAATACTTGAATAGCACCGATGGAAATATTCTCACCAAAATGACTATGTTATTTTCTCTTCTAATGAGTCATATTTTTATGCATAAACCATAGAGGCTTTACTTTGATGCAATCATTCAAATACTTGAGTCACTGGGCGCATTCAAGCCAAAAATACATGCACTCGACGTTGAGTCATTTTATATAAGTGTGCCCATCAAGTGCCATATGGATTCGAAACTCTTCGTTTGCACACGAGCAGGTGAACTCACTCTGAGGTCATTTGAGCCACCAGCTGCAGGGATGTAAAGCCTGAGTTGAGGAAGTTGTCTCTGTACTGGCTCATCTTGATGGCAGTGAGCCAGTCCTCTACTGAGCTGAAGGTGTTGAAGTCAGGTATGGATCTGTCCAACAGTGGCTGAGAAGGCCTGGGGGGGAGAGAAGAGAGGGGTAAGAGGAGATATAGAGTGGTGCTTTAATGCAATATTAAGCAAGTGGGATTTAAAGAGAAGGAGAATAACTGTGGTTATGATGTTTGCATGGGTGTGCGTGTGAGAAGATGCAAGATGGAGGAGAAAACGTGTATGTGAGTGTGTACTGTATGAATATTTGCCCTGGAAAGTATCCTGACCCGATCTATCGATTGATATCCGTCTATGATAAAAAGTTTACAAAGAGTAGAGATTCTCTTGTATCACGGGAGAAAAACCTTCAATCCTTGCCCTGAATGCCAAGTGCTGCAACTAGCTAAAACTAAGATACCACTCATTACCTGGCCAGTACTATTCCCACAATGAAGCATGCTGCGGCAACGCTCCGCAGTGTCAAATATCAGGAAACTAGTCACAATTAAGGAATCAGTTAACTGAGTTACAAACAGGAAGAGGGGCCTTGAAGAAAAACACGCTTCATTGCACAAAGTCAAACTCACATGGGGACAAAAGTTCACTTTACAACTTGGCAGCAAACCAAACCCACACGGCCAAAACAAGTGGCTTCAGGACAAGTCTCTGAATGACCCTCAGTGGCCCAGCCAAACCCTGGAAATTGAATTGGAAAATCTGTGAGGAAACCTAAAGCTTGCAGTTCACAGACAGTCCACATCTAATCTGGCTGAGTTTGAGAGGATCTATGAGAAACTGTGGAAGAAAATTGTCCAAAACAAGGTTTGCAAAACTGGCAAAATCGTGCCGAGTAAGATTCAAAACAAATCAAGGCCAGTGGTGTCTGTACAAAATAACGAATAAACATTCTGAATATGTATGTAAATGAGATGTTTCTGTATGTTTTAATTTCTCTAAAAACATGTTTTTGCTCCGTCATTATGGTGTAAGAATAATTTATGTGTTACTACAAAATGTGGAAAAAGTGAACTTTCTAAAGCCAATACGAGGGGTGGAAAAAATCCTGGGGAGGAGAAGTTCAGGTTTAATGCAATCAACAGTAATGAATTCATGTTTATTTTGTGAGAGGATAAAAAAGTAAGCATGTAGCTACGTGCTGGGTGCTGACAGTGAGTGTAAATACTGTCTAAATAAACAGATGAAAAGTATATTTGTGTGTACTTAATGTCCACGTCAGGGTGAATGTGTGGGGTTATGTAGAAAGTGTTGAAAAAGTGTTTTTACTCACACTGCAGGGATGTTGGCTACAGCTTTGAGGCTGGTGGGGTTACGGATCATCTTGTCCAGGGTGCTGACGATGTCGGTGAAGCGGGGTCGTACGTTGCGGTCTTTCTGCCAACAGTCCAGCATTAACTGGTGCAGGGCACTGGGGCAGTCCATGGGTGGTGGCAGACGGTAGTCCTGCTCGATGGCATTAATCACCTAAGGGAGTAAGAGTGGGAAGGGGTGCAGGTGTTATCTATTCCAAAACTGATATAATTAATAGATCTACATACTACACAAGTCATACAATAATTACAACCAATTGCTGTCACTAATAGGGTTTTTCTACAAGCTGGCTGCTTGTCAATAATACACTTCATTAAAAGCAAAACACTAATTTGACTGAGTTTTCAGCGTCTGATGACATTAAGCATATCCACTCTGTAATCCTGACACGCTCGCCACTGCCTCAACAACATCCCCACCCCCACCCCACACAGACACACTCTCTCTGGTCACTCAGCCGACAGTTAGCATTCAGGCTGATGTGCCCTTCCTCTCGACTCTAGCCAATCACATGTCACTCCTGGAGGACAGAGTGAGGAAAGAGTAGGAAAGGCGAACAGAGGTAGTGTCATTGTAGAAAGAAGTCACCAGGGAATGGGCAGATTGCATATAATTAACACTGTGAAGTACAGCTTCCTGACACGTTTCTTAAAGGCTGCACAGGCTATCCTGGCCTTGTTAGACAGAGTTTCAGGGGAGTCAGAGTTAAGACTCAAGTGTTTTAGAAGAGCTGAGTGAAGTTCAGACAGAACTTGAAGAAGATTTGGAGACTTTTGCAGACGTGGAGTACATATAATTCAATGACCTTCGCGTTTTGTTTGTTATCTATAATGCATGGTTTGTAAAAATGTACAAACGATGGAGTAAAAATGAATATATTTTATCAAAGTAAACATGCTTACTCTGCATTTGTGAAGCCTCTTCATAGACAATACAAAGAGTAGAGACTGCTGCATTGCACGTTGATGGACCCAACTCTTACACATATATATATATATATGTATCCATACTCTCTATAGATGCAATCTTTTCCAAAAAATGCATAGTTGCAGGATAAGGGGTCTGGTGTGAAATCAAGTGTAAAAGATACTATCATTAAAAATTAGAGGCTGCTCTGTAGGTTGGCAACTCCACTCCAGAGCTGAGTGCAACTCAGCAGAATCTTGACAAATGGTGCATATGGAGAAGTGGTTGTGTGTGTGTGTGTGTTTGTGCGTGGACTGAGCAGCCGCACAGGCTGAGTGGTGCCAGTCCTCTTCCCTGCATTAGTCCCACCAGGCAGTGTTTGCTGCTGGCCCACTGAGACAACATCTGCTGGGTTGGACGTTCCTTGTGGAGTGGGGTCCATAGAGGCCTGATGGCTGGCTAGTTGTCTCACTAAGACAGCTTAGGGAGAGAGACCTCATACTATGGGACTATATCCAATGGATGTGTGTGTTTGTGTTGGTGCTTGTGTGTTTATGGGAGTCTGTGTGTGTGTGGACCTTATCCAAACGGACATGGGGAACAAAGCAGAGCTCTCAGCAATCATTCATGGCTCTCAAAAGCCGACCAGGAAGGAAAGGGGTTTGGTGTGAGGCTGCCTATAATAAGTCTGCTTTCAAAGTCAGAGTCAAGGACATCGGTGATGATGCTGTGAGATGGGAACTGATAAAAAATGTGTGATTTATTACAGCTTCCGCTCTTAAGCGTTATCCTTGATTGTGTATCTATGGGGTGAAAAGGAAGTACAACCGCATCTGTACAGCAATGGCCGTTCTATTAATGATGCAGTTTATTCAGATTCAAACTTGTTTTTTTTTTATTGCATTGAAGCTGAGAAAAGTGATAAAGCCCAACTTAAATGTTCCTTTTTATGATCTTATGAAATAGGCACTTGAACCTCCTGGAAAACTGCTACTTCATCAGTGGTGATGCCATACCACATTAGTGGGTACAGTTACACCTTTCTGCCTGTCCTGTCAAATAAAACTCTTTTTCTCTCCATAATTGATAGCTCATTGGTCACTCGCTGTCTGATGTTCCACCCCAACATTGTGCGTCAAAAGGAAATATATCACATTTAGAAAGCAAAGGTGCTTGTAAACAAATACTTACATCTTGGTTGGACATGTCCCAGTAAGGCCTCTCTCCAAAAGACATCACTTCCCACATGACAATGCCGTAGCTCCACACGTCACTAGCCGAGGTGAACTTTCTGTAAGCGATGGCCTCTGGTGCTGTCCACCTCACTGGGATCTTCCCACCCTAAAGAGAGAAAAAAAAGGGGGCAGAAAGGGTGAAAAGGGAGAAATTTCTAAGATCCAAAATTGTCTATTTTCAGTGGTACCACATTAGCGTCGACCATACTCGACTGTCTTCCTCCATCCATCTAACTCTTTAGACCCTCATCCATCCAGTGTATCAATTCCTCCAGCAGCCAAATATTCACCAGATTCTGCATCTGCCTCAGCAGCAGCTCCCAACAGTGTTTGCCCTTCACACATCGACCAACATTACATTTAGCGTCTCCTCTCCCACAGCCCTGTTTGAATAAAGGAAGATAGGCCTGGGCTTCTGCGCGTACGTCGAGCGTGTCTGCCTGTAATTGGGCTACCTGGGCCTCAGGCACGCCACGCGCCCTGTTGATTGAAATTGACAGCTGCTTGTTTAAAATTCCACACACACACACACACACACACACACACACACACACACACACACACACACACACACACACACACACACACACTCGGGAACATATGCACAGGCACAGACATAGATGATCGTACGTGCACACCCACTCACACAAACAGACAGTCACACATAAATCCCTGTTTGTGCCCCCACACCCCCCACAGCACCTCCCCTTATATCTGAGTTAAGCTTGCCAACAGTTTAATAATGCCAATTAGCTGAACCTGAGCATTTGCAGATAAGCTCCTGTTGGAAACAAACCCACACCCAGAGAGCATCCTACACAGACCACCCTGCTCCCTGCTGGCTTTCTGAGAGCGAGAACGGGAGAGAGGAGTTGGAGAGAGGGGCAGGGAGATGGGGAAAGAAAGAGAGAGAGAGAGAGAGAGAGAGAAAAGTGATAGGTGAGGAGAATGAGATACAGAAAATGGCTGTTTCGGGTGTTTCCATACTGCAGGCTGATGTTGGAAATGCTGGACAAGAATATACATAAACAGCTGTAGGGCCTCCTGGGACTCCACAGACAAATTTGTTCATTGTGTAATTTCAACTGAACTCAACTTTCCTCAAACCTATACCTGAACTCTGTCCATGGACCTAACAACCAGCTACCATTGACCTCTGTGTGGCCTGCTCAGAGCAGACTATTGCACTGAACCCTTCACGTGTTTGTTTGTTTGTTTGTTTGATTGATTGATTGTTTGTTTTTAGCAGGATTACGCAAAAAGTACTGAACCAATTTGCATTTGGTGGAGTGCTGCAGCTCGGGCCAGAGGACAACCCATTAAATTTAGGTGGCAATCTGGTTAAAGGACTTTAATCAATTTCCTTAACATTGCAATTTACATTTACAAACATTTCAGTCAATTTCTCAGGAAATAATTTATGTATCTTGATGTAAAAGATTAAACGTATTTATGGTAGTAGGATCTATGGGTTTCTACAATTTGGTACAGATCTATTGAGTGCCATTCTACTGTATATACACACAAACACACACACACGCAAGTTAATGGGTTCCAAATTGATTAAATTGTTAGTACATTTTATGAGACTGAATCAGTGAATTGGCTATGCTTCCCTTCTTCGGGTGGTGCCCCAAGGTGGATTTAATATAAATTAAATCCTATTATTTAATGTAACTAGAGGGGCACTCTGTGCAGCGCCAACCACTGCCAAGGCCAATGTCAAAGAATATACTTTGAAGTCTTCCAAGAAAAAAAAATCTAATTCATAGTAAGTGATCTGGATCTGCCCCAAAATATAATGGGTTCTCCCTTGGCCCATGTCCCATCCCTTCCACCAAGTTCGGTGCAAATTGGATCACTACTTTCAGCGTAATCCTGCTGACAAACAAACAAACATGGGTGATAACATAACCTCCTCTGTGGAGGTAATTAGGGCCTGAGCACCGACGAGGACCCTCTTTAGTATTATTATTATTAATTATTTCTGATAGCCAAAAATTGATAAGCTGTTGGACCTATATGCTCTACACAGCTTTGTTTGTGTGGTTTCCTGTGCGTGTGCAGAGAATGTAGCTTCCACAGGTCAGTGCTGTGTGGCAGTGCAGAGGTGGAGAGGCTGAGCCCATTAATGAGCGTCTCTTCGGAGTTTGACCTTTGAGAGGACGCTGACACTGAAGACACATTTAACATCTGACCCTCAATGGAGACCGCTGTCAGGACACACTGCAAGATGGGGAGTCAACACTCAGCTCTCATTGAGCACAGTGGAGAAAAAGACACGAAGCACTGTAGGAATTAGGCAGTGGTGGGACAAACAGAGAAAACAACAAAGAAAGACGGAGAGCAACAGATCAATAGTTGAATGAAGGCTATCTATGCCCCAGCGACTCGAATGCTTTTCTCATATCTCAGACTTGTTCATATCTGAATCGTTTCATCTATACTGAGACCCCAGGACACTTTCTCTTGCCCTTTCTTTTGTCTGAGGGCAATGGAGCTACACAGATACAAGCCAAATGTCTTCCCTACGAAAATATAAAACGGCCAATCCCCTTCTTCTTCATCTGTCACTCTGTCAGGGGCGATGCTTCGAGACAATTATTTTGTTTGGACAAATGTACACAAGATGAAAAACGAATGAAATAAACGCAGAACAACATGAAAAAAATAGCTGCTCCAAGCAAAACACTATTACAGCCTCTCTTTGTCATTCCTTGATTACTCCCTGTTTGCCCTGTACATCTGGTCTCACGCCCTGGGACCCTGTTGGGATATGAGCTGAGTGTCACTGAAATAGCCTGAGCAAAGACGCAGGATCACAAGAAGCTCCCTCTGCGACCCCAATGAGAGAGACTTTAGTAATAACATTTCCAAGGCGGGTGAGTCAGAGGCAGCTATGCAAACCTGTAGTAATTACTGCTGTGGGCCAGTGATAGCTCTGCCAAAATCCTGCTTTAATAACATGAAGTGCCGAACAGCTCATGCATGCAGGGAAGGAGGCAAAAACATAATAAGAAGTATTGGCGTGTTTTTTTTCCACTAGAAAGACTGTTAATACCACAAGGAATGAGTTGGGGGGGGGGGGGGGGGGGATAGAAGTGATGACGGGAATTAAAACAGACCTAATGTCAACACAAAGGCGCGAGTGCTTTGTGAAGCCTCGAAGCATGGGGAGAGCTCTTTGGATATGGTATATTGTGCCGGCTACTGAAAAAGGAACAAGCTGTTTTCTGTTTGCCTTGAAGTGAAATAATGCAGCTAAAAGAGAATTCACACACTTCTATTACCAGGGGCAGTTATCTCACAATTTGTGTGGATGAACCAGACCGTGGCACAGCAGCCACTGCAGCTGCAGAACTTCCAGGCCTTGAAAGGAGTAATCTGTATTGATATCAAGTGATACCCAAGTGAGCAAAACTCTCTCAATAATAAATAAAGTGGGTGACAGTGCCTTATTTTCAAAAAAGTACTGGATGGATCTATTTTCTGGTTGATAAATGTTGGAACTATGAAGAACAAAAGAGCGCACATGATAGTGTGAAAAACTGAAATGAATGTGCCACAAAGATACCTTTCCATGTATGGTCCAAAAAGCCCCCCCCCCCCCCCATTTTCCCCACTTGGTGACATTGTTTTTTTTCCTTTATGTTACTACCCACATCATGCGTGTGGACAACACGTCCAGCCATGTTTGCACACAGAATTCCCATCCACAACAAAACCTTGCGCAGACACAGGAGTGTGCCGTCAACCTTATGTCACCAGAATGAGATTACAGTCCATGACTGGTTCCACCTGGCTGTGACTGCCTGTGACAGGTTGTGACCAGTTGTGACAGCTAAACGGTACGTCTGGAGTGCGAGTGCAACAGAGATGTGCTGGGACTGTCAGGTTAAAAGGTGTCATGGTGAGACGAGTGTGCTGCTGTGACAGCCAGATGAAGGATAAACATGTGCCAAGGTAATATGTACGTACTGGTGTCTGTTATGTTCCCCTGGCCCAGTAATGTATGTGTGTAGACACTGATGCACGTTGCAAGCATATGGAACACCTATCGTGTCTTTGCGGCGACTTAAGCTTTGCATCTACCACTGTGTCATGTACCTCGATGTAGACTGTCACTGGCAATGCTGCTGCAGAATGACGTCAAATCTAGAGCAAATATACCTGTCAGAGCACAATAACAGTCATCACTAACATGCAGCAACTTCTCAGATAAACTTACTGTAACTAGGAAAATAAGCACCCAGTGTTTGGGCTTGTTTTCACTTCACAGACGCTATTTAGAGATTCCAAATAAACTTTCTCCTTCATCTGGAAGTCAAATATGTAGACCCCCCCCCCCATTCCCGCTTCTCCTTTCCTTTACTCCTCCAACTTCAGTAATCCATTTCCAAACAATGCACTCTCAAATGGACTTGAGCACATTTACTTAGGCTGGGGAGAGTGCTCCATCAACATCCCTTTAATGAAATCCTGAGAGCAACGATCTGCCCTGGATGTCTGCCCAAACAGAATGAGAAAGAGAGTGAAGGAGATGGAGAGAGAGGCCGAAAGAGGCCGAGCGACACGGAGAGATGGGGAGTAAAATAGAACAAGAAAGAGAAAAAACAAAAAACAAAGAAAGGTGGACGGTTTCAGAGATGTTGGTGACTTAAACACCCATGGGAATGTCTGACGGAGAAAAAGACTTTCACCATATATACGCTGAAGTCATGCATGAAGGAAGCATTTGTCAAAGTTTTAATTTTATGTTCTAAAAACTGTCCTGGTCTTTGTTTTTAGATTTGATTAACAAAGAATTCTAAAAATCTCTCCATACTGCATGGGAGGATAACAGAGGGGGAAGGAAAGACTACTGTACGCCCAGAATAGTCTCTCATAATTGCTCTACTTCTGAAAAAATTCAATCACTATCAAGATTAAAATACATATGCATCATATTGCCAGGAACCTTCTGTCTGCAGCTTTCTGATCCCATTTCAAAAATAATTTCTGCAAGGAAGTGAAATCCAGTTACATGACAATACAGCAAGGAAGATAACAGATATTTCACTATTTCAATGATATGGTTCATTTATTCCTTATTATTTAGAAAGTGTG